AAAAGCTGCAACCCACTAACTTTCCAGATCTATTATTTCCTATTGTTAATTCTAAAAGCCATAAACAAAGACAACTACCTATGTTTTGGTTATCTTAAACCAAAAGATCATTTTGCCCCTTAAGTTGATTCCTTCTTCCAGAATTATCACATATTTCCTATTAGTTCATTTAAAAGACGCTCTTGTCGGCCTGCAGACTGAAGGGTCCTGGGTTCAATGCTGGTCAAGGGCACATGCCTGGGTTGCAGGCTTGATCCCAGCAACTGATCAATGATTCTCTCTCATCACTGGTGTTTCTATCTCTCTCCTTCTCCCTTCCTCTCTGAAATCAATAAAAATATATTTTAATAGATGCTTCTTTTACTCCATGAGATACTCTTAAGCAAGTTAGTTCTTCCCTCACCAACTATGACTAAGTTTAGTATCATCTAATCTTTTCTTTACTTCATAGTTACCGGGACCTATGTGTCTGTGAAAAATCACTGGGAAAAATCTGGCCAATTCAATAACTCAAGAGAAAAAAGAGAATCAATAATTTTAGCTAGTAATTGTGGTTCTGAGTTCTTTGAGATACTTCTGGAATATAAAACTCCCAGAATTTTCTACATTTAAAATTAGAAGACTATAGAAATAGATTATTACCAAGGACAAAACTTACACAATTTAAAAGGGGTAAAACACACCAGGGCTAGGGTGACAGCATAAGAATAATGTGAAAAGCCGAAACCAGTTTGGCTCAGTGTATAGAGTGTTGGCCTGTGGACTGAAAGGTCCCAGGTTCGATTCCGGTCAAGGGCATGTACCTTGGTTACGGGCACATCCCTAGTAGGAGATGTGCAGGAGGCAACTGATCGATGTTTCTCTCTCATCAATGTTTCTAACTATCTCTCTCCCTTCCTCTCTGTAAAAAATCAATAAAATATATTTTAAAAAAAAGAATGTGAAAATACTTGTTAGAAATTTGATAGGTGAATGGGTGAAATCTGAATAAGATAAACAGGTTAGATAATTATATTACTTCAATATTAATTTCCTGATTAATTATACTAGTTACATAAGGTATGCTCATTCTTTAGAATATATATGTATATATGTATATGTATATATGTGTATATATATACATATACATATATATGTATATATATGTGTGTGTGTATATATATATAAGTATTTAGGAGTAAAGGGGATTCACATCTTCAATGTACTTTCAAAGAGTTCAGAAAAACAATGTGAAAGATAAGGTAGTAAGAACACAGGGAAAACAGTAAAGCAAATGTGATAAAATGTTAGCATTGAAGAATCTGGGTAAAAGATATAAATGGGAATTCTATGTACTACTCTTGCAATTTTTTGTGTAAATTTGAAATTATTTCAGAATAAAAAGTAAAACAAGAACAACATTTTTGAACACCACTCCCAGAAATTTGAGTCAGTAAGATTTGAGAGAGGCTTGGCACGTGCATGTTTAAAAAAAAAATCCAAAGTATTCTGATGCATGTTGTGGTCCATGGTCTACAGCACTGGGAAATGAGTATTCAAACAACAGTGCATAGCTTTCTTTTATCCAATAAATAAAATAATTAAAATCCCAACAACTGCTATGATACTACTTCCATATAACAATGTGTTTTGTAACTTGTAATAAGAACTATTTACTCAACATTCAATTCACTTACTATTTTTTAAAAAAAAATATATTTTATTATTTTTTACAGAGAGGAAGGGAGAGGGATAGAGAGTTAGAAACATCGATCAGCTGCCTCCTGCACACTCCCCACTGGGGATGCACCCGCAACCAAGGTACATGCCCTTGACCGGAATCGAACCTGGAACCCTTGAGTCTGCAGGCCAACGCTCTATCTGCTGAGCCAAACCGGTCAGGGCTTCACTTACTATTTTACTTAATGCCTTCAGTATGTTAGAATAACTGAAAATTAAAATAGCCTTTACCTATTGTTGTCTGCTAAATACATTAAAATGTATGTGATTAGCTACTCTAAACGGCATTCCAAAGGCGTCTTACCTCTGTAAATGTTTGGAGAAGTTTGTTTACTTGAGCAAAGGCCTGTGGAAGAACACCATCATAATCTGACCTTGTACTGAAAGCATGTAATAGGTTTTGAGAATCCTGGAGTAGGAATTTCACTGTTGTAAAATCTACTGCACTGTTAGCTGAGAAAAGAAAATTAAGAATAAATAAATATGTAAGAATGACTATACAAGTCAAAAAATGTTTTCGGAAAACCAACCTAATATTAATTATGAGATTTAAGAAGAGTATACATTTACATCCACAAGTCACTCCTGATTCATCTCTCTGGTGTAAAAAGCAGCAATTAAACAGACTTAGTTACAAAGTTCTTGGAGGTGATTCTGCTATTCTGCATTTAGATTCTAGGAGTTCCTACAACATGGTCAATTCAAAGACGTGCTATTCAGAGAAGAGAGCCAATCATCACACAAATAAGTTGAACTACAGAGTTTTCAAAACTGAGACTGTTTCACATACAAATGACTATGGAGGCATCAGAAGAGTCCCACTCTGGTAACAAGCACATAAGTTATACAGGGTACCCCTCATAATCAACTCAGTTATTATATAGTGATTTACCTTCAAATTCCATTACATAAAATGTAATACTAGATTTACTGAAAATAACCTGCTTTCTCTCTGTGTATGACATTTAGCAAAAAATAAATAATTTTGGTAACAGTACGCTTGGGGCAAGAGAAGGTAGCAATTTTTCCCCCCTGTAAATTAGCAAAGTGAGTTCATCTACTAGTACCAGTAATTTAAAGATATAACTTTCTCTCAAGGAATTAAAATTACATTAAAATCTCAAACCAATTAGAAGAGATGGTGGCAATAATTCCAAAGATTTAAAAAGTTATGAATAATGAGAGTAAGTAACTTTCTGATGTCACCGAAACTCAAAATAAAAAGAATTTTTCCATTATTAAGATAAAATGCTACTAACGATTTTTCTTTTCAAATTCTTTTCTTTAATTCTTTATTGTTTAAAGTATTACGTGTCTCCTTTTTACCCCACTGATCTCTCCCCAGCTGTTCCCACCCCTCATACTAACAATTTTCAAAGGCATTCAAAATAACCATTTTACAATGTGTTTTATTTAATGTTCAGTTTCAGCGACTGTTATATTCAGAAACACCAGCACTGGCACTATGAGTTAAAAAAAATAAAGAATTCCCCTGTATCATTTATAGAGCAAGTGTTTGTAAAATACTGAAAGGTCAAATGAAAATTAAAGATAAATTTTAATAATTACAGAATATTCAGAAATTCTAATCTAATGTGATGGTAACAGCCAAGCTTCTAGCTTTCCTTTTACCAAACAAATAGTATATTTCCTTACAAAACACTTCCAATTATTTTTAAAGTCAATGACTAGTTTAAATTCCTATGGGAAAAGAGAGATGGGAGAAATGCTACACACAGGACAGAATGGAGATTCCATGAACCTAGGAAACTCCTGAGGAGGAGAAACTGGGCACAACTTTTTCTAAGGGTGCTTCTCCACTCTAGTCTATGTTCATTAGGGCTTATATCCTTGAATCAATCACTTTATTTCTGTCTTAAAAAATTCTTTATGAAGATTATGAGCAAAAGAGAAGTAACAGTGATAAAGTCAGTACTTAGACACAACATAAAAAGAAATCTATGTGATTGAAATAGTTTAATGCTTATGTAAGAACAATAATTATTTAAGACAAAGTTAATATGGATAATAAGTCAGAAAAAGCTACTAGTCATTTTCCACACAATTTTCTATGCATTGATCTAAGGATTCCTGTTTGGTATACTGAAGTTAAATATATATGTACTAGAGGTCCAGTGCACGAAATTCGTGCACAAGAGTGTGTATCTGTCAGCCCAGCTGGCACCCTCTCCAATCTGGGACCCCTCAAGGGATGTCCGACTGACCATTTAGGCCACTGGGATCGGGCCTAAACGGGCAGTCGGTCATCCCTTTCACAATCCAGGATTCCCAAATGCTCGCCTGCCTGCCTGATTGCCCCTAACCACTTCTGCCTTCCAGCCTAATCACCCCCTAACCACTCCCCTGCCAGCCTGATTGACGCCTAACTGCTCCCCTGCTGGCCCAGTCCCACCAACTGCCCTCCCCGCCGGCCTGGTCGCCCCCAACTGCCCTCCCCTGCTAGCCATCTTGTGGTGGCCATTTTGTCTCCACATGGGGGCAGCTATCTTTGACCACATGGGGGTGGCCGTCTTTGTGTTGGAGTGATGGTCAATCTGCATATTACTCTTTTATTAGATGGGATATTCAATAGTGAGGATACTATTAAAGTTAGTAAACAAAATCTGCTATTCTCTTACTCAAAATTATCTTAGAGCAGAAGGTACTTTTACCATTCTATTTAATATGAGAAGCCCAGTGCATGCACTTGGGGGGATGGTCCCTCAGCCCAGCCTGCGGCCTCTCCCAGTCTAGGACCCCTCGGGGGATGTCCACCTGCTGGCTTAGGCCCGCTCCCCGGGGGATCAGGCCTAAGCTGGGAGTCAGACATCCCTCTGGCAGCCCGGGAGCCATTGGGCGATGTCCAACTGTGGCTTAAGCTTGTGGCTGAGCGGAGCTCCACTTGTGGGAGTGCACAGACCACCAGGGGGCAGCTCCTGTGTTGAGCATCTGCCCCCTGGTGATCAGTGTGCGCATCATAGTGACCAGTCATTCTACTGTTAGGGTCAATTTGCATATTACCCTTTTATTATATAGGATTCTTCACAAGTCAGTAAACATTAGGCAGCAGATTCTAGAGCAGTGGTTCTCAACCTCTGACCCTTTAAATACAGTTCCTCATGTTGTGACCCAACCATAAAATTATTTTCGTTGCTACTTCATAACTGTAATGCTGCTACTGTTATGAATTGTAATGTAAATATCTGATATGCAGGATGGTCTTAGGCGACCCCTGTGAAAGGATTGTTCGACTGCCAAAGGGGTCGGAACCCACAGGTTGAGAACCGCTGTTCTAGAGCAAGGATCAATAAATAATGCACTTAAAAATTCTAAAAATGATGTTTTAGCAAAAGAAACAGTTACCATGTCTTCACTGCTTTCCCTATTGCCAATGAGAGCTGCTGCCTACTACCTCTAAGCTGCATGCAAGAGCAAAACACTGCCCACCCCTGGAAAAAACAGACAAATGGAGGCTAGTAACTCAATACCCCATATTTCTGAAACTAAATCATGTTCAAGATCACACCTGGTTTATGGACTCTCTCTTTTGATAGAACCAACTAAATTATGCCACTAGTAAAAGATATAAAAAACATTTTGCTATATATATATCTTGTAAAACTGCTTTGAAGTCATGTCCAGCAAATTGTGCCATGTCCCTTATATAATAATACCCCTAATAAATAACTTTTATAGTTAAACACAATGCCTGAAAAGTGTCTTTCTTTAAAAATGGTAACTGTGGCCGAAACCGGTTTGGCTCAGTGGATAGAGCGTCGGCCTGCAGACTGAAAGGTCCCAGGTTCGATTCCGGTCAAGGGCATGTACCTGGGTTGCGGGCACATCCCCAGTGGGGAGTGTGCAGGAGGCAGATGGTCGATGTTTCTCTCTCATCGATGTTTCTAACTCTCTATCTCTCTCCTTTCCTCTCTGTAAAAACTCAATAAAATATATTTTAAAAAAATGGTAACTGTGAAAAATGGGTATTCATGCAAAATCTACCTTGTATAAGCCAAAAGGAGCTGATAGGCACTTCAAATCCCCTGGGTTTTTACTTTGCTTTTTAAAGGTATAACACAACAAATCTAGCTGTTTGACTTTGGACAAATCATTTACCCTCTCAGGACTAGTTTCCTTGACTGCAAAACATGGGCTTTAATAGCATCAGATCAGTGCTTTTCACATCTTTTTCTTCTTATCAGAGAAACATTTTTTTCATATCCTACATGGCATCTCCATATATAAACAGATAAAAGAAAGCTGCTTCACTAAAGCTGGGGTTGAAGGCCAAAGCCCCACCACTTGCCATACTCCCATCAACCTCTCCACCTTTAATTGGGAAAGCAATTTGTGGCAGCTCCATGCATCCAGCTGCCACAAATTCCCTTTAGATATGAGAAGTATAAGCAATTAAGAATTGACGACATTTTTATTAACTTATCTTCACATTCCACGGACTATATCTGCTAGCCCCACTTTAACACTGCTGAAAACAAAATAAAAGATTCATACCTTTACAGAGACTGTCATGTAAGCTCTCAACGGTTAAAAGCAAATTATTTTCCATAATTAGTCCAAAGACAGCCAACCAATGTTTTTTAAAGCATTGTATTAAATGCATTAGAGTCCACGGTGGTTTCAAGTACAGCATCTAAAAAGTATTAAGAAAAAATCAGCATATACTGATTTATTTATTATTCCTATTATTTAAAAAAGTACAGTTTACTCTTGAACAACACAGGTTAAAACTGTGCAGGTCCAGTTTATGTGCAGTTTTTTCAATAAATACGTACAGTACTGTAAATGTATTTCCTCTTCTTCATGATTTTCTTAATATTTTCTTTTCTTCAACTTACTTTATTGCAAGAATAAAGTATATAATACATGTAACATACAAATTACTTGTTAGTTGACTGTTTATGTTCTCAGTAAGGCTTCTGGTCAACAGTAGGCTATTAGTAGTTAAGTTTTTAGGGAGTCAAAAGTTACATGTGGATTTTCAACTGCATGAGTGGTCACAACTTCAAAACCCCAACTTGTTCAAGGGTCAACTGTACCTATTCAGGAATACCAATATATATTTCTGAGAAAAATATAATTAGTTGAATTCCTTTTAAACTAAAAGATGTGTTATTCAAAGCCAAGCATAATCTTAAAATGATTCCATTACAAATTCCTTTGTAAAACTGATATCAATATTAATCCTTATAGTTTCAGAAACTACGTGTGCAAAAAGAAAACATAGTTTTAATGAGAAGCATAATTTTAATTAGCAAAGGTCAACAATCTACTTTTTAACATGGTCATTTCTGAGGAATCCAATCTAATTAGTTTCATGTAACTGGTGAAAAAATTCTTATAGGAAAAAGTTGTCAATTATAATTGACACCTGCTATACTCTGACAAAGATGTTTATAAAGAAGATTGATCATTTAGTACTACAAAATGTCAGCATGTCCTTCATATAAAATTACTGTCTTAGATTCTATTATGAAATATCCACTTTAAGTAAACCGTTCTAGAATGTTATCATTCTTCTGAATTTTGATAATATAATCAAGAGCAAACACGTTATAAGCAAATACTAGTATTAGTATCTCACCCAATATCTGGAATAGACACAATCTACAATTGATGGGGACTAATGTTTCTCCTAGCTATAAATGTGAACAGAAAACAAGCATTAAACTAAAAAAGCCACCATTGCCAAATGTGGTGTTTTACTGATTGGAGAAAAGATGTAAATCTAAAGAAAATTCAAAATATCTTGCTAATATGATCAAGTTTATACCGATTCTCATATTTATGTGACATAAGCCAAAATATACCTTTCTTTTTCTGAATACATCTTACTTAGGGGAATTCCCTATACAAGACATTTTGACTCAAACTAACATGAGAGAAGTTTTTCTGAATACAATTGAAGCTCTATGGGGGCAAAGCGTCTGACATAGTAGATGCACAATAAATATTTGTTCACTAAAAAAATGACTAATATAATATACTAGTAGTCCTAATCTTTTGGAAATGTCTATCATTTAATTTTCAAACTGTTATTTCAAAAACTTCAAGAGTCCTAACTGGTTTGGCTCAGTGGATAGAGCATCGGCCTGCAGACTGAAGGGTCCCAGGTTCTATTCTGGTCAAGGGCATGTACCTTGGTTGCGGGCACATCCCCAATAGGAGGTGTGCAGGAGGCAGCTGATCGATGTTTCTCTCTCATCGATGTTTCTAACTCTCTATCCCTCTCCTTCCTCTCTGAAAAGTCAATAAAATATATATTAAAAAACAACTTCAAGAAAAAATATGTGATATACATTATTACTATAAAGATTACCAAGAACTATTTCTTAAAATAAGGTAATCAATCTAGCAATAAAAAAGAACTTTTCAACTAATAGAGTAGAAATAATTACCTCCATCCAGAGGTTTCCAAAAGCAATTTTCATTTCTGTTTCTAATATTGAAGATAAGGCTGTTCCAAGAGATTTTTCAAGATCAGCTACTATGCCTTCAAGCAGAATGAGCAGTCCAGAATTTACAGATTCTTCCTCATTACT